GTTTTTGTTCAGATAGAGTTTGTTTTTTGTGATCTTGTCGATCGATAAGTTCTTATCGATTTTGAAATCTCTGTGTGGTATAAAGTCTTTCACGATTTATAGAGAGAAACGAATTTGAACAAAAATGGTGAAGAGTTACCCGGAAGTGAAGGAAGAGTACAAGAAAGATATTATAAGATGCAAGAGAAAGCTCCGTGGTCTTATCGCCGAGAAACACTGTGCTCCCATCGTCCTCCGTCTTGCGTAAGAACCTCTCTTTCGTTTCAGTCTGATTCTGTTTCTGAACATTTTCTTTTGTTTTGCTTGTGAGTGATGATGCGTCTGTGTCTGTGAGTTGTTCGATGGATTGTCTCTGAGAGTTTTTTTGTTTTTGTTTTTGTGGTGGGGAAATTATTGCAGATGGCATTCGGCTGGGACATTTGATGTGAAGACGAAGACGGGAGGACCGTTTGGGACGATAAGGCATCCACAAGAGCTAGCTCATGATGCTAACAATGGTCTTGATATTGCCATTAGGCTTCTTGAGCCCATCAAGGAGCTGTTCCCCATCTTGTCCTACGCTGATTTCTACCAGGTAGAGTTTCAGACAAACATAATGACCTTTTTTAGCTGTAATAGCGAGCAAGAGATGCATCAAGCTGTAGTAAGTAGGAGCTTGAGGAAGAACCATAGGGTCAAAGGTTCTTGGATCAATGATCGTGGTTGAAACCGCTAAGTTCTGACCTCAAATGGGTTCTTCTCTAGCCTGAGCCCTCAGGTTTTTTTTTTCTTGCGGTGAACTAGATTCACGCATGGTTGATTGAAGTTGAGTCTAAAAGCTAATATTGTATTTCTCATGGCTTTTAAGTGTTTGATTCATATGTGTATGTTGGTAACACTGTAGCTGGCTGGAGTTGTTGCTGTTGAGATTACTGGAGGACCCGAGATTCCATTCCATCCTGGTAGACTGGTGAGTGAATACTCATGTTCTCAAATGTCCTGCCACCAATAGTTTGTTTCATCTCTCTGTGTTAAAACTGAACTCACTGTTGATGGTCTGATTCAGCCAAAACCAAAGTGACATTTTCTCTCTGCCAAGGTCAGCTCATGTGATTAACTGAAACTATCTTCTGTTTTTCAGGACAAAGTTGAGCCACCTCCTGAAGGTCGTCTGCCTCAGGCCACCAAAGGTAAAGCAGATCTAAGAAACATGCGTATAGTCTGAATTGGTGTATCAGATTATAGATACAATGTTCATCATCTGTTATTATCTTAAATTCAGGCGTCGATCATCTTAGAGATGTGTTTGGTCGAATGGGACTCAGTGACAAAGATATCGTTGCTTCGTCTGGTGGACACACCTTGGTATGTCTACTGCATCCAGAAACAATAAGACCTACTTTATGTCCTCTTCTTAGTTTTGGCTCTCACCATTTTTTTTACTTTCAGGGTCGGTGCCACAAGGAGCGCTCAGGATTCGAGGGACCATGGACACAAAACCCTCTCATTTTCGACAACTCCTATTTCAAGTAAGATCAGTTTCTCTTCTTCTTTTTCCTTAGGCTTCTTCATGTTTGGATTGGACCGAGGCTGAATTTTAGAAGCTTTTGATGGTTGTTCAACAGAGAGATACTAAGTGGAGAGAAAGAAGGACTTCTTCAACTACCAACAGACAAGGCTCTTCTCGAGGATCCTCTGTTTCGTCCTCTCGTTGAGAGATATGCAGCAGTAAGT